CAAGGGCATGCTATGAAAAGTTCACCCAGCTCTTTCATATTCTAGGGATCCGACCATCGTCCGATCACTATGTGGGAAGGCTTAAGCCTCAATCGGACAGGACCGCCTGTCTAGTACTTTTATTTTGGCTTTGCTCCATGCATTATCTCTATACGGATATGACTGTAATCGTACAGCGAAGCTTTTTACGTCAAATTGTTCTTCCATTAGGCACCTGTTTGGACCAGTTTAACTAGAATTTAATAGGCTTTTTTAATATCTCTTTATAAATATTATAAAGTTCTATTAATAATAGATTAAGTTTCTTTTTAAGAAAGTATTTCTAATTCCCTTTATAACGTATTTCACCACCGAGCTGGCCGCGCCACCCAACCTATTAAATTTAAATGCATTTATCTCAACAATAACGCCACTAAATTAAATCAACTAACTAACTGCTCTATCTGGACATATTTCTCTTCTATGTCCTGGCAACCTGTATATTCTACAACCCCGGTGGGGGGAGGGGGGCGTACGTGGCTGAATAGCCGATTCTCTAGGTATACCGGGGCCGGGGGGAGGTGCTTTAGTTGCTTCCTATTGCTGTATAATTAATACAGAGGCTTATTAAACTAAAAGGCCTTCTTTAGTGGGTATCTACCTCCGAGATCTAGTACGCTTCTATTTCTACTTCTACTTCTCGTTAGCGGCGCGTAATTCCTTATTTTCGTTAGTAAGATAGTTAGTACCTTGTACTATAAACCTGATATTTTAGGAATTCAAAATTATCAACCACTAAATAATGCAAATACAGCACCCATAGATAAAATTTGGAGGTGAGCAACAACATTGTATGATGTGTTAGCGATTGATCATCACTTTCTGACACCCGCCAGTAAAGTGGGCAAAGTGAGAGTAAAGATGTATTGTGTGTCTGTAGCAGATAGGGATAAATGCGATTAAGTAAGGTAGAACAGAACAATAGGAACAGGAAGTTCGTGTGTGGATAACATGTTAGTACACATGCGAAGTTTAACCCGTGGGAATCTCCTTCAGCACTCCATCGATATCAACATAGCTTTCTAGAATTAGCTCTCCCCAGTACCTTTCGTCGATCGGGTCTCCTTTAGCCAGAAAGATGGACCGTGGAATAGACCGATATTGCAATGCATCAATACAGCCTCTTTGTCCTAGCAGGATCCCTGACCGTAAATTTGGCATTGTGTCTGGTTCCACAACCACGGCGATAATGTCCATGTGAAACAACGAGTTGGAAAATTCGACTTTGAATGAAACTTGGACACGAGTCCCAAATCCATATGGTTCGTTGATCGGATCAGATAGGTGTGCGCGAAATTCTTCATCGAGGAGATCTCTTGTGATAATCGAGTTATGGGCGCCTGTGTCCCAGAGCATTTCAACTGCCGACAGCTTGCATTCTGGAAGACCCGGCTCCCACTCCAAAGAAGTAACCATTGCATTACCGACGATGGCGGTCAAGGTGTTCTCTGTACGCACCGCAGGGATATTGAGAACATAAGGTTCTCGTGGTGGGGGGATATTCTCGTCGTGATACTTCTCCTTCAGTAACGCACGGCGATTTGGAGAAGCGGGTGGCGGAAAGTCTTCCGGATTTAGTTGACCTGCTGTCCGAATGGGTCGGATAGATGAAAAAGGAGTGGGATCCTTTAACGAATCTTGACTTTCGAGTGCCATCTTCTTTAGGAGTGCTCGACGAACTGGGTTTGTCGTTGGCAGCAGTGTGCGGCCAGGGAGCCCGCGCACGCAGTTGAGAGTTGCAGTGAGGGCTTCTTCATAAGCAACATGGCTGGTAGAAAGAGCCACGCGAAGGTGACTATGGTGGTTGTCGAGGTCTTCAGCAACTCGGCCCAGGACCATGCCAGGGGGGAATTTCTCAGGCAGCTCCATGTTGGAATGCAACTGTCAAAGGGTCAAGCTGGGAAATAAAGCAGCAACTAGATGCGAAGATTAGCAGAGGAAGATTATGCTTTGGTTGAGAGGTGCCAGCGTCCGAAACTAGTCTTGGCAAGCTTTGTAGTTATAAGGTTCCGGGTAATGAGTCATCCTTACCTTAATCGATGCCGGCGCTCTAGGGGGTAGTGGCGATGGCTTCCTCTTCGCGATGAGTGTTTGAATACTCAGGTGTCACATGTTCCCATAGTAGTAGAAGTAGACTAGCTCTCTCTTTACTCCTACAATTATCATCACGCACAACACAACATTGTGCTTTCATGATCTCATCTACCCAGTAGACTCTAACAGGTTATGAGGCCGGGGAGGTCGTTATTGATCTGATCCAACGATCTGTCAATATCCTCAGTTTCTCTGTGCGACACGGTGCACAGGGGTTATGTCTCGCCTAGCGCGATCCATTCAAAGTTGATATTCACATCCCGCTATCCTTTACAGATAGGATCCTTTATAGGTCCTATATAGGCAAGCAATCAACAACGAAAACAACTCCTAAGGTGGCATAACTTGGTAGAATCCAGTTTCCAGTCTCCAGATCGTCACATTATTGAAGTTATGGATATTTTTAAGGTCAATTCTAAATTAAAGGATCGTCTTTTAAACTAGATTAAACTACTCTATAATAATTATATCGATTCGAGAATTAGAACGAGAGGAGAGGATACCGTTTTATAAAGTTATAGACCTATTTTTCGCTAACTAAAAGAACTAGGGTAACTAGTTCTACGCTTTTTAAAAAGTAGATCCGCTATTTCGTGTACTATAGAGGACCGGGGGGCTACTCTACGTAGATCTATAGAGAGATTCCATTTTTAATGAGATTCTTCAATTTCAGTCTATTTAGACAGCGCGAGAATTCGCGCGTTGTTGGTGGCCACGTAGTCGGTCCTGAAGTGTTGAACGTAGTATGTTAAAACGGCGTGCCACTTCACGAATTGAAGAGATTTCTCGATTCTTAAAAGCCTGGATAGCTAGTAAGATTATACCCTCTTGCTCCTCTAGATTTCTGGAGGATCGAGATCGAATTGGTGGCATGGTAAGTGGTTGCAGAAGAAGGTTTTAAATTAATCGACGCGTTTTGGGTGGTGTGGCCGACTCGGCAGTGAATTATATATATATTTTGTAGTAAAACAGGGGGAGAAATGTCTAAACAAAGAAGCATATATGTAGGTACAACTCTAGATACCACATTATTTTTCGGCTTCTCCTCATGCCTACATAGCGATGTAACAATATAATCAAAATCCAAGCCTACAATTGACGTTGAAACAGCAAAGCATCGAAGACCGTGGAAGCCAGGGCGGTGAGCGAGAGCTCCCCAAACTGCCGACGTGAGGACATCATATCAGCTCTCTTGCAGTCCGCATCAACCATCAACATCTCCAATTCCGAGTTTACCTACCTTTCTCTCTTCATTCAGCATCTCGTCCTCTATCAGTGACTTCAAATTAAACAGCGCCCGCATCTCCAACATGGAGTCCAAGATCCCCGACTTCTTGCTCGAGCAGCAAGCACAAGGAAGCGCAGAGACACAACCCTATTTCCTCACCTTCGAAGACTACTGGGAGCGCAAACTATGGCACCAGCTCACAGACTCGTTGGTCGAGTTCTTCCGCATGCCAGAGAGTGCTCCACACCGCTTAGCACTGTTTAAGACATTCGTGCTCAGTTTCGCCGACCGGGTCAACCAGCTCAAGTTTGTGTCGCTGGGGTTGATGGCAGCAACAGAATGCACAGGTTGGTGGTCCATAGTCTAGCCCCGAAGCTCCAAAATCCACCATGATGAGCACGGTGTTGCGTTGATGCAAGCTAACCACTCCCCTCCAGATGACCAAGAACGACTTGCTTTCCTCACATCCCTCGCTACCAAGACGGATACGGCCGATACACAGGATGCATATGTTTACGCGCTCGCTGATGTGGCCAATGTCAAGCTGTCGCTGAAGGATTTGGAAGGAGCACAGACAGACCTGGCCACCTGCCAGCGGGTGCTAGACACATTCGACTCGGTCGAGACCGTTGTGCATGCCTCATTCTACAAAGTGAACGCGGACTACTACCACGTACGTGATTTGCAAAATCGTGTTTCTAGCCGAACACGGCCATTCAAATTGAAACTAACCCCTCTCTCTCCAATAGTCTAAGCAAGAATTCGCCTCCTTCTACAAAAACGCCCTCCTCTACCTCGCCTGCATTGACCTGGAAGAACTCACCGAGACCGAGCGCGCATCACGCGCCTACAACCTCAGCGTAGCGGCCCTGGTATCAGAGACGATCTACAACTTCGGAGAGCTCCTCCTGCACCCGATTCTGGACTCTCTCACTGAGACCCCGCACAACTGGCTCCGCGAGCTTCTCTTCGCCTTCAACCGGGGTGATTTGACTGCCTACGATGTGCTGGCCGGTAACATCAGCAAGAACAAGCTGTTGGAGTCCCACCGGGTATTCTTGTACCAGAAGATCTCGCTCTCGGCACTCACGGAGATGGTCTTCCACCGTCCCCCTCATGACCGCTCGCTGTCCTTCCAAGCTATTGCGTCCGAGACTAAGGTTCAACCCGATGAGATCGAGCATCTCGTTATGAAGGCTCTGTCGTTGGGTTTGTTGCGTGGATCTATTGATCAGGTTGCTCAGGTTGCACAGATCCACTGGGTTCAGCCTAAGGTTCTTGATATGAATCAGATTGATGGCATGCGAAACCGTCTTAAGGATTGGGATGCTGGTGTTAATCAGCTCGGTCACTGGATCGAGGGAGCTGGTAAGGATGTTTGGGCTGCATAGATATCTTATTTCACTTGTGTTCTGATCAGTTCTATTATAATGAATACAATGGTGTCGTATGCTATCGTGGATCCAGTATACTTGTAATTCTCGCAGTATGCACTCATGTGTCTTGTTTGACTCGACATATCTACTTCGCTCATCATCTAAAGGCAAAGAATATGACATGCACATAGTCTAGTAAAACAAACCATAACAATCTCATTCCCCAAAAACTAATATATACAAAACTCTCCACATATCGCCACTTAGGCTCCATTAATCGAACACTGCAAAGCCGCAAAATTAGGCGTATCAATCCCCGTCCGATTATGACACCCTTCCGGTTTATAATACTGCGTCACCCCATCGAAGCAATCACAATCTTTCTTGCTGAAAGCAGAACAAAACCCACCCTTGAGGATCCACGACTGAGGTTTCTCAAGCTTGCTCGCATCACAACTACTCCACGTGAAGCTATCATCCGTCCACCATTTACAGGTCACGCCTGTATCGGTGAACTTGCTGTTCAGGCCGCCGTGGAGCGCCAAGCAGCCCTCGCCATCGAGGAATTCTTTGTTATACCCTTCGAGGTGGTAGTAGTCGCCCTCGCAGCCTTTGTTGCTGTACAGTGTGATTTCCCACGGTGCTGTCCAAGGGTATTGGGATACGCTTGGTTCAGGTGCTGCTTTTGCTTTTGTTGTAGTAGATTTTTTGGTTGTTGTGATTTTCGTGGCCTTGACGGTGGTAGTAGTGGACCTAGACTTGGACTTGGACTTGGAATTGGAGTTAGAGTTAGAGTTGGAATTGGAGGCAGGCTTCGCTCCCGTGCCAGTGGTGGTCGGTTGCTTAGCCCCTGTTGCCTTTGTATTGCCAGTAGTTTTTGATTTCGGGGCTTCTGTCGCTCCTTTCACGGTAGCTGTAGGACCAGCAGGAGGTGCACGGTAATTTTGACAATGTAGATCGGAGGAACCACATTGACCCCAGAAAGCACACTGTTGGGTTGTTAGGGCTGGGTCTATAAGCCGGGGGTTATTGGGGTTTACTCACGCATTTAGACGCAGCACATGGGTTCATTCCGGCGAGATCGGCCCATTTGGCCGGACGTGTTGTTCCAGGTACTTGTGGGCCGCAGGTAGCTTGAGGAAGGGCCATGGGCATTGGAGGTTTGCCAGCACTGAGACAGATAAAGTCACCCTGGTATAACTGTCTGCATCCGAGCCATACCCAGGTGTTTTTATTGAATCTTTCGATATCGGCTTCGGTGATATTGTGTGCTTTGGCAATCAATGCGCAGGTATCATATCCTTGGATGATGTATTTGAAACAAAAGCCGTCTTTGGTTGGAACTGGGGCGGCCGCTGTTGTGAGACGGAGAAAGAGAAGCCATAGAGCAAGAAAGTCGATTCGAAAGAGACCCATCTTGTGTAGACCTGGGAGATACAGCCATTTGTCGAGTAACAAGGCTTGCCATTCTTTATATAGATTGATGGAGGGAATTATGGACATGAAACTGAGATTGGATAGAGGTACTGCATGAAAGAAATAGAATACTGTTTCTGATTCTAAGCAAGTCCCACGGGAATTGGTCAAGAACAACGCAACATTGATGCACTTGATGAATGTGAGATGTTAGTATTGTTCAAGGGCTATAACAAAGACTCGGGGAAATGTGTTGCGTCGGAAGATGAATATCTTGGATGTTTTCATTGTTCGTTCGAATCAGCCGTGCATGAGCTCTGCGATATGATATGTATAAAGTTGGCGCGGTCTTTGTTTAGCCTCGCCTTGGGCTCTTCTAATGTCGGATGCCAAATGTGCTTTGATCGTAATTGGCTATTGTGAAGAAATAGGTACTTGCGCCCTGAAGAATTATAAATGGAGTTACTTCTTTAAAGAAAGGTACGGCGTGGCAAGTGAAACATATCAAAGGGGACACATTCAGAGTACCCATTTTAGCAAGAGTGGCAAGAATATGTACGTACCTAGCTACATTCACTTGCTTTGGATGTGTATTCGAAGTGCATTGGTGTACGTACCTTGGACGTCAACCACAGTTGATACTGAGATCCCTGCTGTCAGCTCGTGGTATGCAAGGCCTTGGTCCCTGTCTTTGTTTCTTTGTTTCGGGAGTTATAGCATGGACTTGTATTTATTAATATCCTATATCATTGGGCCAATGGGGCAACCGCATGACACAACAATGTACAACAATATAATCAAAACATCGACGACCCCAGCAACACACAGCCAATCAACCAAGCTGGCCACCACACACACCAAACAACAACCTGGGTCCACATACCCCAAACATCCCAACCGAAAGCCGCCTGGGTGAGAACAGCCTCGACGGAGACCCCCATATACCAGCAGACGCCAAGGAGAACAGTTGGCGGGGAGAGAAGGTTGAGAAGCACCAGACCCAGACTTGAAGTTGCCAAACGGAATGGCGCGGACCCTCGCAGGCGGCTGATGAAGCTAAGCGGCGCGCAGAGTAGACCGATCATGAATGAAAGGGAGAAGTTGAGAGTGGCGAGGGTTGAGAGGGAGAGACCCAGTAGGAGAAGGGAGAAGGATTTTATAAGGTGATACTGTTGGGGGATGATTGGTTTTGATAGACCGAGGCCGTTGGAGAGGATTGCGGCGAGGAAGAGGGGGAGGACGATATCCACGGCCACAAATATGTAGGTGGTGGTTGTGAAGTACTGTAGACTTGTTAGCAGCTATTAATATTGTGGTTGTAGGCTGACAGATCTCACCTGGTGGAAGACATTATTAAAGACCCAGAGCGGGACAAGACCGAGTAGATGAAGTCCGACAACAAGCGAGAGTGGTAAAGCAAGGTGACGTTCCGCAATGCTAATCGTATTGGGCTTCTCCTTCCCTTCGGTGGGTGCCTTCTCATTCTTGGGGTTGGCACTTGGCTTGCTTTCCGGGTAGTACCCAGTGCGAATCCAGAGGGCAATCGCCATGATAGTGAAGTTTCCAGCAATCAACATGGCACTGGGCAAATAGGTTCCAATGCTGACAAAACGGTTCGACTGCATGAGCAGGTAGAAGAAAAAGCTCTGGTGCAGGTGCTCCAGCAAGTTATTCAAGCTGCGGCAAAGAGACTCAATCGTCCGGCCTAGCGCCATTTCGTCCTCCCATCCCTCGCCCTTGGTCTGCAGGGTGATGGCGTCGATATGATATGGCATGAAGCTGCTGTGTGCACCGGTGGCATATCCGAGACCCTGCTTGGTCATACCGCGGAACATAGTCTGCAGACGATGTTCGTAGCTGTCGTCGTGACCCCACATTTCCTGTAGATTGGCTCCGATACCCATCTGGCCGCCTGCAATGGCTACAGCCGTGTTGAACAAGTCGAGGTTGGGGAGTTGGCCATTGACTCCATCGTATACAATATGGAGCGTCTGGAACCGGTGATCGAATGGGTATTCAATGACCAGTGCTCCTTGCAACGCCCCACTCTTCAAAGGAAGTGGCTGTACCGAAGCCGGGTGCATATCGTGGTAGGCATCGATCCAAGCCTGAGTTCCAGTTTTACTATCCGGGGTAATTAGGAAGATAATGTCCTTGGACCATAATGACCATCCTAGCATCAACTGTCAGTAACCTGACTAGAGGAGCGCAACCACGAAACTCACTCTTGAAATATCTCGCTAATGTCAGGGCAAGAGTGACACCGTTCAGGTTCAACTCATCATCAGCCGTTAGCCATGGCGCAACCAGCACAATTGCCTCCGTGGCATCACCGCGCGGCGCATGGATAATAGCATAAGTGTTCTCACCCTGGTGCGTAATCCCAGCGGAGGTGTATTCGTATTTTTGCGTGGCAACTTTAAGGCCCGCCGCTTGCAAGATTGACTGCAATTTGTCCGAGACCCTGTTGAAGTATCAGCGAATAGCCCAGCCTGTACCAGGTTCATTCGACTTACGCTGCTGTCACTTCCGCCTCGTCTTTTTGATCGCCTCTCGCTTTTCCATCATTCAACAATCCTTCCAATTCTTTCTTATAACCTCGGAATATGTTCTGCTCGCTTCCGGTAAAATACGCATGGACTTGGCCCGGCAGAAGCGCATTCTCGGAGATGTAGGTTTGTCGGGAGTACTCGTTCAGAGGCAAGAGCAGTAGCCACACAACACCGACGACAATGCAGAGAAATGATAGGAGATTCGGGAGGCGAACGAAAACGAGGTGGGGGTTATTCCCCAAGTTGCGGATTGCAGCTGGCATCTTGTTAGTTGGGGTCTCTGGTGCTGGTGCCAGGATGGACAGGTGGTATTCCAGCTTGCTCACATTTCAACGCCATTGAGTAATTACCATCGGGAAACTAGTTCCCGTGCCGCGAAGGCGAAGCCGTTAAATGAGTGGAAATAATTGGACTGAACTGAAAGGTTACAAGTCAACAGTGGAGATCGAGAACTCCGTTGTTTATGCGCGGAGAAGTGGAATTTACGCTAACCGACAAAGACCAACCGTGCAAATTAAATGTGAGTATGCACACGCTATGCTATTAATCCAACGTCCCCCGAGTCCGCAACAATATAAAGTACTATAGTGGAAAATATACATTAAAAATGAGAAATGAAGAATGCGTCAATATCCGAAATCATGCTCCAAGGCGCTGGGTAGATCCCAAGTAGCTCATGGGTGTTTGGTTGCCGTTGGCGCCGGCAGGGTTGGTGGTTGGAAGAACTCCATAGCGACCGTAGGTCTTCTGGTCGACGGAGACGTAGTGAGGTAGGCGTCCCAGGAGGTTCAACTTGCCCTCGATCCAGCGGAGGACCTTCTCAGGGGGCACAAACACCTTGAGGTATCCGAGGCCGACTAATGACAATTAGCGGCGAAAAAAGGAAAATTAGAGAAAGGAACTCACGGAGGTATCCGACAAGAATCGAACAGAGATGACCGAGGAAGCTCACGTTCGAGATGAGGATAGATACAACGACACATGCGAACAGAGGTGAAGTCCAGGTGGGAATCTTGTACGGGCCAAGACTAAAGGGCGTTAGTAAGATTGGAGCAAGTTATTTCCAAGTAAATCTTACCTAAAGTTGGGGTGAGACTTGTAGGTCTTAATAGCTTCGGAACCGAGAAGCAAGAAAACCCAGATGCTGGATTGAAGGTTAGTTACCGAAACATTCAACCTGGAGACCTAAAGCTTACCTTGCGCCGACCACCGAAGTATTTCTGTGTAGGATAAACCTCTCAATCAGGATATAAAGACCAGCAGGGACAGTCGAGAGAGCTAAATCATCCAATATTAGTCAAATTGCCACAAGCATTGCGTTTTACCAGAGTACTCACGTCCAATAAACAACGCAATAGCAGTCAAAGTGCCATGCTCGGCCTCAAAGCGCTCGAGCAGGGGTGTAACCGCCAGAGCATTAAAGAAAGCATGGAAGAAGCCAGTATGGATGATGGGATAAGTGTTAAGTCGGTACACTGGTAACACCATCAAGTTAGCGTACGCCCAATATTCTGTTGTAGCATGGAATCAAACATACTAGTCCCCAGGTTAATCTCCTCTGGAATCAAAGCACCCCACTGCACAACACTCCACATGGTCTGGAATTCAAGCAGCCAGAAGGCCAGAATGACCAGCAGCACCAGTCTGGTGAACAGCGGTAGTCGAAGGAGGTATGATCGTATCCGACCCGGATTGAAAGGCAACGGGGGTAAAGCGGCGGGAGTCGCCATAGTTTCTGAATGTTGATATTCCGTTTACTATCACTGTCGAATAAATATAGTGACGAAACCACTCAGGGCGGGAGTAGAGTTGGGCTGGCAAGTCGGGATACACCGCGACTCTGAAAGAGAGTATTTGCAGTCGGAGCCGTTAAGAAGGATTGACAATGTATTCAAGAGTCGGATGGCGGATCCAACAATTAATGACTGGGAAAGGAAGATCAATCGTTAGATTCTGTTTTCCTCGCTAAGTCGAAGTTCCGGGCCGGGCCCAGGGATAACTCACAAGGCGCACGCGATCCTTGATGGGAATCGAAAACAAGACACAAAGAAGTCCTAATTAAAAATTAAAACTCCCAATGTCAAGATCGGAAACAATCTAAAATAAAAATCAAACTCGAAGAGAGATCGAGGAAGACCTGCGGCACCCATTAAGGCGACTTGTTCGCGAAGTTACGCCCCGCGATAAAGACCAACCGCGCAACTGTAAACCTCCGGACCCCAGGGGCTCGGGGGAATAGTGATGATTCCAATTTATCTCAATTTACTCCGTACTGGTTGCTACAATGGTCTATTCATAAGAGATCAAACGGTACTACATATCGCTATTCGCGACTTCTATGTGCTAAATTCGCCGATTTATTTACAGGTGCTGGTTGAACCAGGCAACGGCCTGACAGAAGGCCTGTTCCTTAGCCCACTTCTGCTTGGGGTCGCTCAGATCGGCGCGCACAGCGAAGCCGTGGCTGACACCGCTGAACAGGTTGATCTGCCACGGCTGGGCAGCCTTGATAAGAATCTCTTCGGATTCATGACGAAGCTGGGTAGTGAAGATCGAGTCGGTCTCTGTTGACAGATGCGAAATTAGCCTTTGATGCTTCTTTTTCAAATTGAGATCTAGCAAGCATCAACTTACCAGCAGCGGAGATTGAGAAGGGGCCCTTGACGGCGCTGAGCTCCTCGCTGGTGATGAACGAGGGGTGCGCAGTGTAACCGACATCAATCTGGCCGGGCTTGAGGTTGCGGCAGACGTACTTAACCCAGATTGTTAGCACCAGAGTTTGGAGGTTATATTTTCGGAAATTGGATCCTCAGGTCTGGACTATAAGTACATACCTTACCGCCGAAGCAGTAGCCAACAGCACCGATCCTCTTAACGCCGAGAGTCTCACGGGCGTACTTAATAGTCGACTCAATAACAGGCTCAATGTTGGCGGGCTGGTGGTTGAGGAGCCATGAAGGTAGGTCGACCTTGCCAGATTCCTTGTCGCTGAGACTGATCTGGTCGCCTCGGAAAATATCCGGAATGATAGTCAGGTAGCCATTGTTGGCGAACTCGTCGGCGAGAAGCTGGGCGTTGATGTAGATGCCGAAGATATCGGCCAGGAAGATAATAGCCTTTTCGGGGTTCTTATCCTTAGGGTGGGCGATATAGGTGTTTACTGGAGAATAGCTTGGTTAACAAGTGTTCTGCGGTGCTTTTGGGTTGTAATTGGGGAAATTTGAGTATCTTACATCCGTCGATCTTCTTAAGCTCGCCAGTGGGAGCACCTTCGTGCTTGAAGCCAGAGGCACAGCAGGCACCGGGAGGGTTGGAGGCCATTTTTATGTGAGGAGGGGTATATAGAATATGAAAATGGAGTGCTTTTTTTTTCCAAGTTTGTGTAAGTAGAGGGTCCCCCACTGCTTATAAATGTATTCTCACGTCTCGGATTCAGGCGACCCTTTGGCGTTGCCTCCGGTAAGGGTCGTTTTCCTTTTGATATCATTTTCTTCCAATCAGACTGGCTGATAAATTGCGTCTTAATCTTACTACCCCCACTTACCCCTCATGAAGCTCTTCAACTTCTTAGATCTTCTAGACCTTTGTTAATATGTTCTCATTCTAGGGCTAATCTTGTAGAGCTGACACTCAATGGTCTTGAATCGGCTTTTAATACCTAACTTGTATATCTATGGCTTCTGTTTATCTAGGATCGTATAATAGAGGTATCTAATTGCCTGGTACCCGGGACTCGGCACGATGGACGCTCGGGGATAAAAATTTAGGGCTGCTAAACTCCGTGGGTCTACTTAAACTCCGGGAGAATGTTACTTTGAAGAGAACTTGCATTAGGAACATCTGTACTGCATATATCATCTGGGAGACTAGGATATCCAGTCCCAATCAATCCCACCAACCATTATTACCACATTAGTCCATTCACAGAACGTCACAAAATATCATGTCCGAGGGTTTCCAAGGCACTGTCCTTCCCAGGGTATCTTTCTCTACGGAGAATATTATGTCGCATGAAGAATTCACAAAACAAAAATGACTCCGTATATTCCGGCATGAAACAAAAACCTCAGAAGTGTAAAGGGGGGGTATCAAAGGAAACATGTCGCGAATTTTTTTCACTTGAAGCGGAAGTCTGGCCGTGAGCGCTGGACACGCTTCACAGCCCAGGCCTTGATGGCAATCATTAAGACCTCATAAGACATGATGAAAGCACTGAAGCCCAGACCGATGGTGAAAGTGAACATTGCGTCCAGTTCGTAGTATTCCATCGCTTGAATCACATTGCGGGTCTAGAACAACGTTAGTCATGGTCTTGAGTGACGCTATAAAGCTTATATGAGGGTATGTGGGGGTATGTGCACTTACACTCAACATGAAAATCAGGCCTCCCGAGATCAGGCAGAATGCAGCAATGATCTCTGTCGGGGGACGAGCCGGGAGGTACGAGGTCGGTGGCCTGAGGTACAACATAACATATGTCATTCCGCGTGCCAGCGCAAACCCAACCAGCATGTTACCCCACTGCTTGTGTACCATAGTCGATGTCATGCTGTCCTGGTGGTGCGACCCCATCATCATGCCAAGCAACATAATGACCAGGGCTGGCATGGGGTTCAAGGAAACACCCTGCGACCTCGGTGGCGTCCAGGCTTCATCCGAGGTAGCATGAGCAGGGGTTTGGAGGATGGTGTTGTTGACCCAGTCACGGATGCAACTAGATTCGAACAGCATACCAGCCTATTTTATGTTAGCCAGATTGATTCCTGTGGAGAGCGGGAAAGAAGATGAAATCATACCAGACCGCCGCCGAAGAACAGTACGGAAATCGAAACGTGCTCGAGATCTGTAGCAGACCATGGCTTACCTGCACCGGAGAGGTGCTCCAGGAAAACATTTGTCGCGCCATATAGGAAAATGACGAACGACTCTGTAGCTTCACCCGATGGAACCTTGGCTTTCCAACCAACAATAGCCGCAGAAGGCTTCTTGTTCCAGCCCCAGCCCAGGTCTGCCCAGCAACCAATATAGCGTCCAAGAGTCAGGATACCATACCAGAAGAAGATACCACCCTTGATGAAGTGCGCAAGCCCGTTGAAGATCTCACGGCTCCTCATAATACCACCGTAAGTCACCGCTCCACTCGCAATAATGGCAAATCCGAATGGAAGAATGACACGGTCAACGATGTTATACACGACATTCAGAACGCGGAGAACCCGGCTGGGGATCAGACCGGGGACAGTCTTGGACAGGAAGCGACCGACACCAGTTTGGTGAATCCAGCCGTGCTGAGCGGTCTCCTTCGCTGGCAGTTCGTCGGGCTTTTCAAATCCATCGTATTCGGTAGGCGACCCACAAAATGATCCAGGGCTATGGATGGAAGACGAGTTACTATCGGTACCCTGGCCACTATCGCGAGACCAGCGATGCTCGCGCATCGCATCGGTGAGGCAAACACGCTCATTATCATGGTCGTCGGTTGCGACAGGCAAGAACGCATTATGTTGATAAGAGGGCGTGTTCGACTCGCCACGGCCAGCGTAGGCAAAGAGCAAAGCCAGGACGACCTGGGCGCCGACAACACACGTCGCGACCCAGCCGAGTTTGTGGTGTGCATTGTTCTCGTAGAGGTCTGGCGTCTGGCTGTTATAGATAACCCCGAGGAGGACACCGAGAGCGTTGAAGGCCAAAAAGAGGAATTGTGATGGAATCGCAAGGCATGAGCGTGCAATGCTCAGCATAACAGCTATTGGAGGGATCAGTTTCTGTCTGTTTTCTTTGCTTCGCATTCAGAGCGCAACAACAGGAGAGCCACTTACCGACAGGAAGAACGAAGCACCATCCCAGAACCATCAGAGCAATGTGAGCTATAATGGTACTAGAGTGTTTGCTATATGCAAAATAGCTCATCGCACCAGCGGTGTTGTTTTGCATTGTGGGGGTTGTAGGTTGCGGCACGTCGGTGACTGGGTTCATATCCATTCCCATGTCCATTGATTCGTCACCGTGTGGAAGCGCGGTCGCGAGGGATGCGACAAACAGAGTGAAAGTTGTCGCCAATGCGACACGAGTAGTTATAGTCCGCATCGGAAGGAAGATTTGTTATACTGCAAGAAATGATAATGTGTACGTCTGTATGTGCAAAAAAATGCAAGTGGTCGGGGGATATAGAGCTCCAACCAGCTTAGGTCGAAGCTCTATGGAATCGTGACGTAGCGAACCTGTCAACCTGGTAGTTGGGCCCGTATTTATTCTTGTTTTTTTTTTGTCCTCCAAGCCTAGACAGGACTACTCGGAGTTCGAACTAGACGGATTATTTGGAGTTGGATATGAAGCTGTAGGGCTGAAGTATGAGAAACCGGGAGGGAATTGCTGTATATAAAGTCCAGGCGGGGCTTAGGAATGAAGTACCGGGATACACTGCCAACAAAAAACTAAATGGAAGAAAAATAATAAAAAAAAATAATAAAAAGAGCTCGCCGGTGCCGATTTCCAATGCTTTTGAGGAAAAAAATTAATTTGAATAATGTAAATAAAAGTGCGTGGAAGAAACTAGGACCCTCAGGGTTGATGTGCCCAACTCAGGATTACTTCGTTTCTGCGTATAAGGTGATACCTCGGTATAGGGTAATACGCTATGAGACCTCATATGATACATATCCTTCCTCTGCGATCTAGACTTTAAATATGTCATTAATTACACTGAATCATGGAAACTAAAGCCACACTTCTTGGTATGTTTTATCAATTTCTTTTAGGCTTTCCTTTTCACTCGGCTGTCTCGGGAGCCTCTTCGGGGAAGATTTTGGTGACTTCACGAGTTTGGGAGGCTGGGAACTATGACTACATGGACCACATTTGAGGCTTTTGCCATTGGAAGAGACGTATGTAGAGCTGCATCTGATGCCATGCGCATGTTGTACCCAGAAATATAAGCGCCTAGGCCAATGACGTAGTCGATCGTTACCTTATTTAGACAGTCACCAGCCTAATCTTCTCAGTATCTTTTCCTTACATCTTACATACAATGTATGTCTACTAGGTAGACATATTAAACCATAGGGTACAGTATAAGTATGTAAATATGCCAGCCTGCTTGGCTTCCGGCCTGACTATCTCAGGTTGACTTCCAAGGCAACTATCAATGTGCAAGTCTGGCGCCGTTGGAAGCCAAAGCAGATGATCATCAAGGATCTGTTCCTCCAATCAACGAGAGCCAACATATGTATGCATTCCTTGTCAGGTGTTTTCGTACTTTGATACTATCCCTTGGTCGGCCTCGCTCGCTTGGTTTCCCGAGCCGCATTTTTTGGGCTGGCCCCATCGTGGTGGGGGTCTGTAGTATGATGGAAATTGAGTGCCGGACTCTCATCCGGATATAGGAAAACAGCGCAAGAACATATTTAAACGGAAATTCGGCACCTTAATTTATTACCCAAAGAGGTGATATTGAGGTATTTGCCTCCAGTAGTAGCTTGCTCATCTCCGTGATAATCCGAGTGCAAGACCACGCGGGGTGGCCCTTGCATCCCCGATACGCAAAACCTTTACACAGTTACCATGACATAATAGAACATAACCAGGTAGAAAGAAAATCATATATTCAAGCCACCAATATGTATCAACACATCCCCGATGCATATCGTCATGTGGTGTCCTAACCCATCCTGGTCCAAGCGTGCACAACTCGACATAGCAATATCCTCGCCAAGCGCTCCCCGCTGTACTCCGTTCTCCATACTTCGTACAACACTATATTCTACTCTATCGCAGACGCCTTCTAACTCTACTACAGACGCCACAATGAACCTCATCTCCCAGTAGTAAGGAAGCAAACGAGCACCTGGGCTTTGACAGGAAGTCGGGGCCAAGGCCAAAGCCGAACCCGAGTCCGATCTTAGCGATTGGTCAATCGGTATCCGTGAGCATCCGGGGGACCTGAAAAGGGCTGAAATTTTACAACCACGCACCTGCACGTCCCTAGGATCTGCGTTGAATAATTGCTAATCAGTTAAGGTGAGTGCTATGTCGGAATACAAACTCCGCCTTACTTCCGAGCCCCGAGCCCACTTTGTAAGTCTATCCGTTCTCTGTACGGAGTGGAGTATGTATATGCCTCCGACTACCTCGTGTTTGACTAGGATAAGAGCCGTAAGCTATCAATATGACTCACACATGTTCATGGGACAGCCTTAAACCCGCCGCTCTATGTACTCGACTGGGTGGTTTGGCTGTCTAACGCCGTGATTTTCCCATATACCTCTATGGCGGCTGTACCCGGCTATAATCAGACGGTGTGACCTGGCGCCACAACTGCATAC